CATACTCAGGGAGGTCTTCAGATGCAAACCAGGAACTTTCCAATGTGGATTAGCCTTGTAGAGTGTCAAGTTCTACTGCTCTGACACTGTCCGGCCCCTTAAGATATTTTTTAGTGAAACGATGGTAATTGTAGATAAACAATGATATGTTTTAAATATCCTTTTTTCTTTTTCTTTCTTTCTTCTTTTTTTTTTGAAGTTATAGGGCAAGTGTGCTCATCACAGAGAGACAGAGAGAGGAAGGGAAACATCGATCCCACCCCCCTCAGGAGGGATAGACATGCCGAAATCCCTTCTTTTTCTAGATCCTCTTGGGATTTTTGGACACAAGCTAACATCCTCCCAGCCTGATTTTCAAGCTGCAGGGTCTGGAACTTGAATTGCCCCTTAACTTAAATATCACCTGCTGGTCCCTCCCCTGCTTTACTTTCCAGTGCCAGGGGGTGCATACACTCAACAGAGAGAAACAAAAGAGGAGGAAGCACCCCGCAGTGGGGCATGACCATCCTTCAGTTGTCTTCTCCATTTCTCCATCCTGTCTTAGGCGCACATGCACACATGCCGTGTGTGTTTTACAAGGCCCTGGGGTCAGAATTTCAACTGCAGTTAGCCAAGTGGGATCTGGCTCACTTAAACATTAGGCTGTGGAGCCTGCTCTAAATGTCCTTTTTCTATAAAATAAATTGACGACCCTATGTTTGGTCCCCAAATTTGTTTTGGAATTTAGAGATCCAGGAGCCAATGTTTTAAAAAAATTCTGACGGGGACTAGCAGATGGCGCAATGGTTATGTTGCTAGACTCCCATATGGCCGACCATGGTTCAAGTCCCGGACCCAGCAGCTTGAAACTCACACCAGGCATGTGTGTGTGCATCCCCAAAATACTGAGAGGTGCATGGTGGAGAAGGGACTGTGGTGTGGCCATCCCCCTGGGGGTGGTTTCTCGCTTTCTATCTCTCTGTCTCTCCAGCAAGTACACATGCCCTGTAGCAAAAATCTCTCTTAGAAAAAAAGTCTTGGGCCTGGCAGGTGGCATGGTGGTTAAGGGTGCTGGACTACCACATGGCCAACTGTGGTTCAAGTCCCAGACCTGGTGGCTTGCTTTCTCACTTTCCTTTTCTCTCTCCCCACCTCTCACTATTCCCTCTCTGGTTAAATTAAAATAAATAAGTAAATAAAAATTAAAGTTAAACAAAATAGTTCTTTTAAAAAGAAGCCTGACTTACTATTTGTAGATTTCTCAGTGCCAGTCAGAGTGTCTTAGTTTCATTTGAATAATATTTCATGGAATGGTTAATAATGAAATAATAGATGCCAGTAGCTTACTTTTGTTTGGCTTTGTTTCTTTGCTTCTAAGTTGTCTCTTGTTCCTAAGAGACACAAGTCCAGAGGACCTTAACCAGTTCTGTGGACTCAAATGTGCCAATAGGCAAATATTATCTATAAGCAAATGGAGGAAATTGTGGCAGTTGGTCTGTCTTTCACTGTGAACACTAGAAGATTCACCTCACCAGCTTATTCTGGTATCTGAAATTGACATTTTTCAGCCATTTTTTAAATTTAAGACATTGCTTATTTATTTATTTAAAATAATTATTTAATTTTACTTATTACTGTTATAATTTTTTTTTCCAGTTTGACCAGAGAGAGACAAAGAGAGGGAGGGAAGGAAAGTGAGCATGCAAGCCATGGTCTGGAACTAGAGCCATGGTCGGCCATGTAGGCGTCCAGCACCTTAACCACCACACTACCTGCCAGCCCTGATTATTATTATTTTTTTAAAGAGAGATTTTTGAATAGAGTACTTGTGCTCGCCAGAGAGACAGAGAGACAGAAGACGAGAAATCATCTCCCAGGGGGTTGGCCTTGCCACAATCCTTTTTCCTCCATTCTCCTTTTGGGATTTTGGGCATGCATGTTAGGTCCAGGACTTGAATCGCAGTTGACTACATGGGAGTCTAGTGGCATAACCATTATGCCACCTATTAGTCCCGTCCGTGTGAGTTTTAAGCTGCTGGGTCTGGGACTTGAACTGTGGTGGACTACATGAAAGTCCAGTAACAAGACCATTATGCCATCTGCCGGTCCATAAGACATTGATTATTATAAACTTCATGAAGGCAGGGTCATGGCAAGTGTACCTTATCCACAATGCTTGGGACCAAAAGTGTTCCAGATCACCCCCCCCCAAATATTTTAGAGTATTTCCATATACATAATGAGTTATCTTGGGGAAGGGACTGAAGTCTAAACATAAAACTCATTTGTGTTTAATTTACTCTTATAGCCTGAATGTAATTTTACACAATATTTTTGTATTGCAGCATTTTGACTGTGACCTGCCCCATGAGGTTAGGTGTGAAATTTCTACTTGTAGCATCATCACAGTGCTCAAAAAGTTTTGGATTTCAGATTTTCAGATTAGGGGTGCTCACCCTATATAATTTCTGTGTTTTTTATTGCTATAGCTTCAGCATCCATCCCACTTCCTGGCACATAAATAGTTGTTCCATAAATATGTGATCAGTTAGCAAATGAAGGCCAATGTTATTTATGATATTAAGATGTAAGGCATAGTTAACCTTATGATGTCACCATTTTTTATTTTTATTTATTTTTTTTTAGAGAAATTTTTGCTATAGGGCCTGTGCACTTGCCAGAGAGACAGAGAGAGAGAGAGAGACAGAGAGAGAGACAGAAAGCGAGAAATCACCCTGGGGGTGATGGCTATGCTGCAGTCCCCTCTCTATTCTCCTCTTGGCATCCTGGGGACATATGCACATGTGCCTGGAGTGAGCTTCAAGCCACCAGGTCTGGGACTTGAATCTTGGTTGACCATGTGGGAGTCCAGCGATGCAACCTTTATGACATCTGTTGGTCCCTGTAATCATTTTTTGAATAGCTAGTATAAAATAAGGCTTTAAGATAATTGAAACACAGTTCGGGTAAGTTCTAGTAAAGCTAAGTGAGGTCTAGAGTGGTTCCCAGGCTTTCCAAATTGTACCTTCTCCTTCTTTTAGGAACTTTCTTCATATCAGAAAGTTTCAGAATTTCCTACATCACAGCTCTCTATCAATAGAGAAAATATATGATTAAAAAGTAAAACAGCTTTAGGGTCAGCAGGTGGTGTGGAGGTTAACGCTGTGGATCCCACATGACCAGCTTTGCAGTTTGAGTCCTGGACCAGGCAGCTTGAGAACCATGCCAGACGTGTGGGTGTGCATACCCCAAATCCTGAGAGGAGACTGGAGAAGGGACTGTGGCATGGCAGTCCCCCCCAGGGTGTGATCCTCCCCAGCCCCATTTCTGTCTCTCTCAGGAAAATACATGTACCCTATAGCAAAAACTAAAAGAAAAAGTAAAATAGCTCTTTCTTTACCACTTTTAAATGAATATTTCTTAATGTCTTATATGTAGCTTATAGATCTTATATTTATCTAGATATTTAATCTCCAGATAAAACTTGACATGTACAGATTTGTGAGGTCCTTAGGGTTCAGGGTCCTTTTTGTGTGGCAACCATTGATCTAGACTCTTGTTGTTGGAGTGTGGCCTGTAGTCCATCAACACTGACATCACTTGGAAAACATGTTCGAAATGCAGGACCTTGGCTTCTATTCCAGAACTCTAGAATCAGAATCAGCATTTTAACAAGATCATCACATAGTTCATATCCACATTAAGTTTGAGAAGAGTTTATAGAACACATTTCTTTTGTCTAGAATGAGAAGGAGCAGGCCAAACAGAGATGGGAGAGTATAGAAATTCAACGTGTCTTAGTTTATTACCTTTTCTTAGAATGGTTCTGTTAATAGTTGTATAGGAATTGCTACAAAACAGAGATGTATGAGTGTTTCTGTGTGTGTCTTTAGTGTCTCTATAGTTTTGTCATTGTGCATATATAGTTATGTGGAAAATAGGATTTATATGATTCATGTGGTATTCAAATAGAAGTGTTACCGAATTGCTTTGGTCATGTTCATTTCCTGCTTCTGGTGGAAATACCTTAGCATTGATTCTTTGGGACCCAACATTTACTATTTTGTCCAAAGAAGTAAATGTCTATTTATCCCTCTTAAGATAAGATTGCACAAACATTAAGGAGTTTTGCTAGGATTTAACAGTTCTTTTCATTCATCAGTGTGCCTTCAACTTCAGTGGTATATCAAAAGCAAAGCACATATTGCCTATCATCTTCTTATGTATATCAAGGTTACTGTATTGTCAAGTAAGTATCAGCTAGTGTGAAAGAGCTCAGTCAGTATTTTTTGTTGTTGATTTTTTTTTTTTTTGGAGAGTTTTTTTTGCTGTAGGGCACATGGGCTTGCCAGAAAGACAGACAGAAGGTGAGAAATCACCCCCTCCCCAGGGGGGATTGCCACGCTGCAATCCCTTCTCCTCCATTCTCCTCTCAGGATCTTGGGCACGCACACACACGCGCCTGGCGTGAGTTTAAGCGACTGGGTCTGAGACTTGAACAGTGGTCAACTACATGGGAGTCCGGCGACTTAGCCATTACAACCTCTGCTGGTCTCCAAATTGAGATTTTTGAGGTGGTTATCAGTTATTGATTTGGTCGTAGGAGTAGGGTTCTGGAATGGAAGGGATTAAAAGAGTGTGGTACATCAATGTCATTTCAGTGATTAAGTAAGGAAGGTTTTTCACTCAGTTCATTTTCTCTTCTTGTGCTTAGAGTCTTTTCATTGCTGTTTTATTTTGTTTACCACCTGAAATTGTAAATAACCTTGTTGTGTGCTTTGGAGTGAAGATGGCTTTAAACAAGAAAATAGAGGAAATTTTCTTTATTCAATACTTACCGATACCATATGACTTGCTGCAACTTTGTGGTTGATAAGTGACATTAACATCCAAACGGAGAACATCCATTGCCCATTAAGCTATCCAGGTCTGCATAGGCTCAGTGAGGGCCTTGTGCCACGTGTGGGTATCTGCAGGACCTCGCCTTGCTGACCCCAGTTTTGCTCTTTATCTTTTTATAGGACCGCAGCTCAATGCACAGCTGGAAGGTTGGCTTTCACAAGTACAGTCTACAAAAAGACCTGCTAGAGCCATTATTGCACCGTAAGTTTTAAGGTCTTTACCTAAAACCTATTTTATGTTTATTATTTTATGTTTATAATTCATAAAAATGAATCTGTAGGTTGAACTAAATATTAAAAGTGGAATACTATATTGAGCTAAAGAAATTATATTCAGTGATTTTCACCATTTCTGTGGTTTTTACTTTGACTCAAGGCCAAAGGTATTGGCTACTTATTTTCTCAGATGTAGTAATTAAAACATTTCATTTTAGTGATAAAATGAACTTTTAAAGTGTAGGACTTTTTGTTTTATTCCCCAAGTTTCAGATATTTATTAACCAGTGTATATCTGAACACATCAAAATGATTTCATGCATTTAGAGGAGAAATATTTCCTGGTTAAGTGGAAAATTGTGCGGACGACTTCTGGAAGACCTTCATTATGAGCAGCTTTATAAGTGAAACATTTCATTTAGAAGTCTGGAACTTCTTTCTTCAGTTTTCTGTAATCCACATCCACTTAGTAAAATTTATACTGATCATTGGGACCTAGTTTGTTCGAGGGTTCAGGGTTATTCTTTCTATCTCAAGAGATACTGGGATTGAACATTGCCAAACGCATGAGATATACTGCTGCTCTAGTACCTCCAACTCCAGTAGATATAAACAGGAGAATCAAACTCAGATGGTTTTTGGCCTGGCTCAGGATCTGGCAGAGCATGTTTACTGTGGAGGACTCTGGTTCAAAAGCAGAGAACAAATCTGCCAGGCCAGAGACTAAAAACTCATCTCACAGAGGTTGAGAGGATGCTCCTAAAGTGTAGGACTTTCTACATTAGGTAAGCTGTTGATCTCAGTAGTAATTGGTGTAAGTGAATAGGTTCTATTTTAAGTATTTAAAAGATCTACTTTAGGTCCAGGTGGTGTGGAGGTTATGGTGGCTGGACCCTACATGTTGTCATGGACCTGACAGTTTGTAAATCTGTGTATGTGTGTGCGCCCAGATCCCAAGAGGAGGACTGGAATAAAAAGAATTGGAGTATAGCCATACCCCGGGGGTGATTTTTCTCTCTCTTTCTCTAGCGAGCGCACATGCCCTATAGCAAAACCAAAAACGAAACAAATCTACTTTAATACAGAGAATTAACTTACAATGAAAAAGATATATTAAACATAACATGGTGCAGTATGGAGAAAATTTAGGAGAATTTAATGATTTAAAAAAAAATCATTATTTTGTCTTGGAATATTAGAATTTGCTTTTATGTCTTGTTTTTTGGAGAGATTTTTGCTCTAGGGCATGTGCACTTTGCCAGAAAAACAGAGGGACAGACAGAGAGACAGAAAACAAGAAATCACCTCCCAGGAGGGATGGCCATGCCACAATTCCTTCTCCTCCATTCTCCTCTTGGGATCTTGAGCACACGCACCCAGGGTGAGTTTATGCCACCAGGTCTAGGACTTGACCCGCGGTTGACTACATAGGAGTCTAGTGACGTAGCCAGTACGCCATCTGCTGGTCCCAGAGTTTGCTTTTTAGAACTACAAGCTAGCATATACACTATATTTAAAAACTTAATGTAAATGATTCTTCTTCTCCTCCTTCTTCAATTGGACTAGAGAGAGGGAGAGTGATGATGAGAAAGCAAGCCAATGGAGCTGGGACTTGAACTGTGATCAGCCATGTGGGAGTCCAGTCACCTTAAACACCATACCACCTGCTTGTACTACATATACACTGTTGATGTGTGTGCCTATGTATGATCTCAGTGCTAACTAACCTTCATCCTTCAGCACACATTATTTTATGTACATGTTAACATTTTTCTGATGGAAGTGAGATTTGAATTTTAACTATTTGTTTTCCATTTTTTTATCTTTTTTTTTTTGAGAGGTTTTCACTATAGGGCGCGTGTGCTCGCCAGACACAGAGAGGGACAGAGAGACAGAAAGCGAGAAATCACCCCCCGGGGGGATGGCCACGCCACGATCCCTTCTCCTTCATTCTCCTCTTGGGATCCTGGGCACGCACGCACACATGTCCGGCGTGAGTTTTAAGCCACCGGGTCTGGGACGCGAACCGCAGTCGACTACGTGGGAGTCCAGCGACATAGCCATTACACTAACTGCTGGTCCCTTCTTTTCCTTTGTTTTAAAAAAAGAATTACTTTATTTATTTACTCATTTTAATTTGACCAGAGAGGGACACAGTGAAAGAGAGAGAAAGAGAGAGAAAGTGAGAGAACAAGCTGTCAAGTCTGGTACTCAAACCACGGTTGGCCATGTGGGAGTCCAGTGCCTTTAACCACCACACTACCTGCTGGCCCCTTCCTTTTTTTTTTTTTTTTTTTAAGAATGATTTACTTCTTTATTTAATTTTGTTTGTCATTGTTATTTATCTTTAAATTTGACCAAAGAAAGAGAGAGAGAGAAAGAAAGTGAAATTAAGAAAGCAAGCCACCAGGTCCAGGACTGGAACTGTGGTCAATAACCCTGCTATTTCTTTTCCTTTTTTAAAAAAGAATTATTTTATTTAACTTTATCTATTCATTTATCTATTTATTTATTTATTTTAATTTTTAGCAGAGAGAGACAGAGGAAGAAAGAGAGAGAGGGCAAGTGAGAAAGCAAATCACCAGGTCTAGGACTCGAACCATGGTCAACCATGTGGGAGTCCAGCGCTCTTAACCCCCATGCCACCTGTCATCCCCTACTTCTTTTTTATTAATTTTGCTGTAAGGTATGTGCACTTGACATAGAGAGGGCGAGAGAAGAAAGAAAGCACTCTGTGAGTTATGGCTGTACCGCAGCCCCTCTCCTCCTCCTCTTGGGATTTTGGGCACCCACACAAATGCTTCTGACATGTTTTTCAAGCTGCCAGGTCTGGGACTCGTAGTACATAGTAAGCCATGTTGGATCTAGTCCATCTTAACTACCACGACCTTGTTAGCCCCAAGTTTTTGCTATTTCTTTCATGCCATCTTTTTCTTTTACATTGATTTATTGATTTATTTATTGATTGGGAGAGAGACAGACAGATTTTGAAATTAAGGGTGGTGAGACAGGTATCCTTGACACAGGGCCTTGTTAGATTGTGACCTCCCTGACCCAGTTCTCCAGCCAGCCAGAATCTTGCGCAAACCTGTGGATGCTCCCAGTGTGTTTATGTCAACCTGGGATCTGAACCCAGAGCCTTTCCTATGGCTTCAGTATCATGCAGTGGTACCCTACTACCTTGCCGCTGCATCTGGACTTGTAATATCTTTTTTATGACTTTTATTGTGCTAAGATTGGTGCCCTTGTAATTTTTAAATAGTGGGGATAAAAATAGCAATCACTTCTTAAATAATAAATATGAAAATTAAATGAGTAAATATGTATAAATAGCCTAGAGAAATGTTGAACACTTAAGAAGTATTCTTTTAATGTTAGGTGTTTTAGCTTCAAGTGCTTTAAATGATCATTTGAATGATCTAACTTTATCTCATTGAATAGATTCAGGAGCCTGACTCTCTCTAGCACTTGAGAGCCTTTATCTTTTCATTGGTAGAGGTGGAATAATAATAATACCTCCTGGGGCCCGCAGGTTGTATGGCAGTTAAGGCATTGGCCTCCGAGCTGGTTATCTGCGCATCTAGTCCCAGACCTGGTGGCTGGAAAATGGCTTGGAAATCATGCAGTGTGTGTGTGTGTGTCTGTGTGCGCATGCCCAAAATTCCAGGAGGAAAATGGAGGAGAAGGGATTATGGCATGGCCATCTCTTTTCAGGGATTTCTCACTTTTTCTGTCACTTGTCTCTGATGAGCACATGTACCCTATGGCAGAAACCCTAAAAAAAAAAGTACTTCATCATAGGTTTTTTTTTTTTTTTTTTTTAAATTCATTTGCCAGAGGGTTCATATACTGGCTAGAGACAAAGATAGTGAGAGGGAAAAGGAGAGGGAGAATTCATCCCCTCAGTGGCATGTGATCATGCCCCTCTGGGATTTTAGGCACACATGCACATGTGCCCAGTATGTTTTTTCAAGTCCCCCGGGATCGGTATTTGAACTGTACAGTTGGCCATGTTGGGTACAGCTCCTTTAACCACCAGGACATAGGGCCAGTCCTACTGTTTTGAAAAAAATGAATAAATGAGCTAATCTTTTAGCAAAATGACTTGTTATTTATTTAATCATTCATTCATCAAATATGTTCCTGACTAAATGTCAGATCCTCTTCATAGTACTGCTTTTGGAATAAATCAAAATTACTACTCTTGTGGTACTTGCATGTGTATGTATATGTATGTGTGAGGTTGGCTATATGGGATCTAGTTCCCTGTGAATAATACTTAACTGCTGTACCTTGGGCTGGTGCATGTATTTTAGTACTTGGGAAAGACAGGAAGTAAACAATTAAACCATTATATTCCATATCAGGTGCCAGTGTGTGCAAAGAAGAAAAATAATAAAGCAAATAAGAGGGTTGAGAGTAACAGTCTGGGTATGGAGTTTCCATTTTACTTAGGATAGTATGAAAAGGTCCCCCTGATAAGGTAGCTTCTGAGCCTCCATGGTGAGAGAGAGTGGGCTATGCAGGTACCTGGGGCAAGAGTGTTTCAGGTTGAGGAAAAGCAGGCTCAAAAGCTCTGGGGGCAAGAGCATTATGCTCATGTGTTTGAGGAAAAGCAGGGAGGCCACTGCAGCTGGCATTGCCTCGTGCTAGGGGAAGAGTGGGAGACATGAAGTAGGCAGTAGAGGCTAGGCCATGAAGAGGCTTTGTAGACTGTCATAAGGACTTTAGTTTTTATTGTGATATGGCAAGTCATGACAGGTTTTAAGCAGTAGAAATTTATGATCTCACCTGGGTTTGACAAGGATTTTGCTTGTTAATGTATGGATGTCATACTGTGTGGGGACAGAGAAGTCAGTTTAGGAGGCCTGTTAAAATAGTACAGAAGAGGACATAGTGGCTTGGACTGTAGATTAGACGTGGAGTTGAAGGGAATTGGTGTATTCTGGATTTTTTTTTTTTTTTGAGAGGTTTTTGCTATAGGGC